AAGGCATGTGCTAATGGCCCCATTAATTGAGCCCTCCCTGTGCATTCTTGCTTGAATAATATTAGTCAGCAGGGAGATGTAACAAATAAATAACTCCTCAGAACTGTGTTAATTTGGCCTGAAGCAAAATCCTAACCTGAAAGAGAGATGGTCAGAAAGAGATGTATTTCTCATACAGGGAGCCAATGGACTGTAGGGTCCTTGTCCTCAAATGGCACCTTGTAAATGGACACGGGTGCAGAACAGGAGGAGGAGGAGCGTTGGATGGAAAGCTGTGCTGTCCAGTCCCCTCTTTTACTGCTTGATTTTCTTCTTCCAGCACTGTCAGGTTTTTCCAATAACACCATCAATAAGACTAGCACTAGCAGCAGTGACTCAGAGTTTCAGGTACCCTTTTTTTTGTTTTCAATTTTCTCCTCCTTTTTCCCCTCCAGGCCACCTCTACAGAAGAGCAATTTGACCAACAGACAGCGCAGTCTCCTTTCGGCTCAACGGAGCCCTGTCTAGAAGCTGGACCTATTCTTAGTCCCACCAGGATCACCCCAGTCCCTAAACCCAGAACACCGCAATCGGGGAAGGCTCAGGAGAGCAGGGGGAGCAGTGAAAGGCAGCCCCCCTCAGCAAACATGGCCGAGGCCATCACGTCACCTCCCCAGAACCCTCCCTTTGTCCCAAAGGTGCCACCACGAAGAAAGAAGTCGGCGCCTGCAGCTCTGCATCTCCAAGCTCTCCAGAGCAGTGACAACCCACTTTTTAGTGAGTTGATGTTCAACTCCAACAACAACAACAATCCCAGGTTCTGTCTCCAGTCTCAGGACGCTCATGTCCCTGCACAGGCTGCTCTCCCAGCTCCTACATCCTCTGCCAGCCCAGAAAAAAGCACAACTGAGCAGTTGGCACCAAACACCACAGAATTGATGGCCAACCTTCAGAGCCCTCCCGTACCAGGAGGCCGGCACCCACAACTCCCAGATACCAGCTCCCTTCCAGACAACACCAACCTTTTGGACCTGGAGATGGATTCTTCCTGCCCTCTTGCAGCACCAGCTACTTCTTCAGCACACACTCCAGAAAATGTAAAAGGTCCCAACTTGAAAGATTTCAGTCACTGGGTGACATTTAGCGACGATGAAGACAGCAGCGCGCTGGCAGGGGGCTTCGATAAACTGCTCGCCTTGGAAGGAAACAAAAACAGCTTGAAGACAACAAATACTGATTTAGAACTGTAAAATTTTGCCCCCTCTCCCCCTTAATGTTCTTATAGAAGTCATCATTATGATGCAAAATAAAAAGAAATCTTTTGCACAAAGATTTTTATTTAAGGAAATAAATCATCTCTCCATGCTACATTTCATTTTCATGGTTAAAGATAAAGCTACTGCCCCTGGAGGGAAATGTATAGGGTATATACATCCTAACGTTATCTACGCCTTGTTTGAAAAGTGCTTTATTGTAAGTTATTTCTTTTTTTATTAATCCATCTTAAGAGGTTTTATTTCATTTCAGGTACAAATCATATGTAAGAAGGTGTAATGGCATATGGAAAAAAAAGACATTAAGAAAAAACCATTTTCCTGTGAAATTTATATATTAATCCATTTCTGTCACTTGAAATAAAGCACCCTTATCTGGAATAGTTAAACTGCTCCAGTTACTCTGGAACAAACGTCCAAAAGGGGAATATAGCCCAGTATAACTACAGCACTTACCACTGGTATTGATCTGCTAATTAGTTTCTGCTGCCGAAACAAGGCAGGATCTTCTTGTAGATCCTCACCAGCTGCCATGTCTGCAGGCCCCAGGACTCACCTTCATAAATTCATCCCCTGAGCTAAAAGTATAAGGGAAGGGGTGTGTGATGGGGCTGTAAAGCAGAACTGTGAGAGATGATGCCCTGGTGTCAGCAAGAGATGCCTGGATTCACTCTGGCCCAGGCACATTGGAATATTACACCTGAAAATTGGGAGATTGAGCAACCTGGTCGGAGGTGTCCCTGCCCAGGGCAGGGGGGTTGGAACTGGATGATCTTTAAGGTCCCTTCCAACCCAAACCATTCTATGATTCTGTGATTCTATTCATCCAGGGAGGGGATGTACCCACTGGAGACAGGTACAGCGCACAGAGTAAGACTAACTGGGCAGCAACTGCCATTATCTGTTCTACGCAGGTTCTTGCAAAGAAAAAGTTTAAAAGATGATCATATTCAATGGTTCAGAATGTGACAGCTTAGACAGGGCAAGCACACACCCTCCACCCCTCCTACCCCCACTGAAACACTGTAAGTACCAGGCACATGCTCCTGGGTGCCTGCTTTGCTTATCCATACCCTTATCCATACCCAGTACCCCCACAGAGCCTATAGGGCCAGTGTTTCGGGTGAGTCTATAGGTCACTTACCACATGGGTTGACTCATGAAGTGTCACTGCTCAGCTCAAAGCCGATTCGATCTCCATAATGAAGTGCTCCCCGGTGCTGAGCGGGGCTGGTGGCTGCTGCAGGCCTTTCCCCTTGCCTGTGCTGTAAAACTGTACACTATAGATGTTAAGAGAAGCATAAAGATCTTTTATTATTAAAATAAAGGACAGCGTTTTTAAGCAGTTGGTGAAACTGGAAAAAACCAAACAAACCAACCTCGGTTTTCAGTTTTTCGTTTTTTTTTTTTTTTTTTTTTTTTTTAAAAAATATTTTTTAAAAAAAACCCAGAAGTGATTTTTTTTTTTTTTTTTTTTTTTTTTTTTTTTTTTACCAAGGAAAACCAAGTGGCTTGTTCTCAGCTTCGTGGAAACTGGGGATTCAGCCACATTCTTACTCGTAACACCTACCTGGTTTTGAACACGGGACATCACACATAAGAGAGGCTGCTGCCTTTGCCTGGGCACCTGCCATCCTCCTCTGCCAGAGTCTTAAAAAAACCCACCAAAAACCCAAAACCTTCCTAGGCCAAACCAATAAAAAGCAGAGCTAAGCTTCTTATGTGTCAGTTTAACACGGCAGCAGGTGGGTGAGTAACACTGAAGCAAGATAGATAGAAAGATGTTCATCTTTCCCTGGTAGATGACACAGAGCCTTAGCCTCTTCCTCTTAAAGAAAAAAAAAAGTAGAGTGAATATTTACGGGCACATTTTAGTATAAAACATGAAGAGCAGTAAAAAAGAAAGAGTACGTTATACAACCATATCCAACACTTACTTTCCGCAAAGATAATTAACAGCTCTGGGACAGCTAATTTACATGTTAATGAAGGTGCTAGCAGGAAAGCCAATTAAAGTAGATTTATACAAGTCAAATAAAAGCTGCTTTATTACTCTCCTTGAGTCAGAGAAGTATCTGGCCTTTAGCACTATATCTTATGTCTGTGGATGTGGCAAGCAGGAATCCCTGCACTAGTGGCTTTAAGGTGTCAGTGACAGCTCAGTCACAGCAAACCAAGGGAGAGGAACAGCCCAAAAGGTTACGGCAAAGAATGAGGACTCTCCTGTCTCAATACATTACTTTCCACACTGGTGCCCAGCACCCAGCCAGGTGCTTTTCAGAGGCAGGTGCTTGTGCCCTGGGTTCTAGTTTGAATTGTCAGGAGAAGTTCAGCAGGGCCAGACTCGCTCTGCGCTTGGGAAACCAGAAAACTCAGATGATTGCAGGGGGTGGTGATTCGTTTCTTCTCATTCAGGATTAAGCCAGACCCCACCACAATGTGAAAAGAGGCCTGGTGACCTGAACCATCAACACCTGACAGCCATGAGTAGGGAATCCCCAGCACGGCTCTGTCCTCAGCTCTGCTGCCCATTCTCACTGGGACATCATCAAGAGAAACCGATGTCCTCAGCAGCAGCCATCAGTCCCGAGGGCCACATAAGGGGTGGGAGGGAGCAGCCCATCCCATGGCATTTCTCAGGTTGTGAACATCTCTAGATGTTGTCAACATGAGACATTTCCCTTGGGAAATCTTAGAATCATTGACATGGGCTGTGAAGCCAGCTATGAATGATTTACCACATGTAACTACGTCAGCGTCTGAGAACTTATTTAACTCAAGAGACTTGGGCAAGAGCCTGCCCAGGGCCCTGCAGTGCAGCAGCTTTAGGTTCCTCCAGGCATCCTGGATGTTCAGCTGCCTTGGTGTGTGGGGTGGGGTAAGTGGTTCTCCTCGGTATAGCAACTGCCCCATTTAGCTTTTTTTAGGAGGATGATCACCGAAACAAACCAAGAGAAAGAGAACCAAACCCAAAAATATCATTTAGAATTTCCACTCTGACGAAACAACATTGTTGCTTTTTCCTTTTTTGTCCAGAATTGACATTTTCACCAGATGGAAAATGTCTCCTTTCTAACCAGCTGCTCTGCCTGGCACCATGGAGCACAGATCGCAGTGAAAGCCAGTCTGCACGACTGTAATCACAGCAATTAAAAACCTGATGACTGTTGCTACTCAAAATACCAATAGTGTGACACCAGAGCGCTGGACAAGTGCAAGAGGATTCACAAACCCTCCCTGTCTTGGTATTTTAGTCTTGGATGCCACAACGCAGACGAAATACCATCTCAGACAACTCCCACATCTGCAGCAGGGCCACTGGTGAGATGGGATTAAGGGCACAGTTTCAGACCTAAGAATTTACATACAGGCACTATTCTGAATTAATGTGACACCAGAGAAGCACGAAAGCACAAGTTTCTAATTGGCACCAGACATGAACCCTACACAACAGACCTTCTGGCCCTCAAACCGATCTCTGTACACGGTTGCAAAACCCAAAAGCACAAAAACCTGTCCAGTTTGGCACCCCGTCGATGAGGGGCAGCACCCCCAGGACTACGGCTCTTACTCAAGGGGAAGGACAAACATTACCTTCTTCCAGCACGAGACAATCACATAGAAGTGAGTCTTTGATAAAAGTGAACGTGATCCAGAGCATTCCTTTGGCAGCTCATTTACCTTTAATACATTTCGTGGCAGATCTAGTACATTTTTAAAAACACATTTCATGACTATATTAAAAAACAAACAAACAAACCCCAAACCAACAACATCCCCTTCAAAATATTAGTTTTAAAAGTGACACATATATACATACAGTTACAAAAAGGAGAAAGTTACCTCAAGAGTTCCAGTTACAGTAGCAAAACATAGATGCTTTTACTGCCATTAATGTGTAAGGTCATCGAGCTGAAGCCCCAAAAGTCCAAGAAGTCTATTAAAATTGATACCAGATTTGTCACACTAAACACACATTTGGTTATTACAAGTGGTGTCCATTCACAAGGAATTCCACGTACCCTCTACTTTGTGAATACAAAGTGTTCTTATGTATTTACACTCGGAAGTTTAAACCACCGTGTAAAAAGGATAAACCTCTTTCGAAGTTACGAGAGTTTTGTTGTATTTTCTATGTTAAATATGGCCATGCAGGGTTCTTACTTAGGGGGGAAAAATGCTCTTTTTTGCCAGCGTGGTGCTGGTCCTTCTCCCTACAGCTCCTGTGAGTTTTACTACCCAACTCCAGCAGGTCAGGGCTCACCTTCCAGAAGTGCATTTTCAGCTGGAGTGTTCTCATGTGGGCACGGCTGAGGTGGCCTCAGGACCCGGCAGGGCTGCAGTGGCCACCACCAAGCCCATGCAGGGCTGCAAGGAGCATCCCACCTCTTTGGTAGCCTTCAGAGCCACAATTTTAAGCCTGGTAATATTAGATCCATCTCACACAAGCGATGTTAAGAGACCTCTTAAGCCTGTCATCAACACAGGCCTTATTTACCACACACTCAGAAGGGCAGTGTAGCCTAACCATGACCTAGGCTTGTTTTAAGAAAGGGTTGGAGGTGTAAAAAACAGAAGGAAGGAGACCACAATTAGATTAGGCTGCTTATAACTATGTTGAAAACTATCTAAGACTTTGAAAAAGTGACTGAGCGCTGCCTTTTTTTTTCCCCCTAAAAATCCTTATTTCTCATCAATACTGTTAAGTTATCCTTAACATAAACTCAAATAAGACAAAACTGAACGTTTTCTCTGTATCTACACCAATAAATAGACTTATGTCTCAAGAAACCAAAACATCTGGCATCTTCCACATTTCCCATGATCACTATGATCACCTGAATTTTTTCCTGCTTCACTTTTCTCTCTACCTGAGCTCCAAACTCTGAGCTTTCTTCATGGGGCCTACATTTGCCTTACTCCACTTGAGCATTTTCAATGCTCTTCTTTAAATCAGCTGAAGAAGTAGTTTCTAAATGAGTAACGTGAGCCAGGGATTTGAATGTACCATCTTCTTGGTGTGTCCCAAGAGGAAAACAAAGAGCTAAGGCCTCTGGTTTATCTCTTCCACGTGAACAAGCACAGAACTGCCCTGAGTCTGACCAGATATTGTCATAACAAAGCAAACTCATGAGTTGCTAAAATTAAGAGAGAAATGTACAAGAAGGTGAACATTTGTTTTTTTTTTTTCATTTATACAAGATTAAATATTTAAACAGGTTAAAACAACTACAGTTGTCTATGCAAGACAACCTACCAACCTATCTCTTTCTCACAGAGAAAAGAGATGCCACATCTGCTGACAAATCTGGATGGTCTCTTCAATGAAAAGGCAAATTACAAAACCTCCTGTAATTGGGCCATTGGACTAAAATGCTACTTTCAGTCAATTGGATAAATTTCTTCAGGCTCCAGTCAGACTTCTTCACATGGACAGTAAACCAAAGCTTTGAAGCAGCCATATGCTTCTTCTCCCCTTTGACACAACAAATAACCATCTCACTCAATTGTTTCTGATCATCTCTGTAAGACTTTAGTCCCAGATGTGTATTTATCTTAATGAGACCACCTACCTCAAAAGCAAGCTTTTTTTTTTTTGCTAAAAGAAGACACCCCAGGTACTCCCCATAGCCTGGCTGTGTTGCTCCAGAGGGCTATCTGTAGAGGAAGTGAAACTTCTCTTCCAAGCCCCATCCCCTCCCAGCCAAATTGCTAGAGAATTTACACATATTTTGTTGACAGATCACAACAAAAGTCAACACACATTTTCTTTTTGCCACGTCCATAGGACTTCAGTCTGTATTTGTTGAATGTGTTTTCAAAATAAGTTGGAGAGGTGCTTAAGTTGGAGATGTACTGAACATTATTTTAGCAGCAGATACTATTGACATAGCATCTTTGTAGTTCTGCAGATCCCCTAACAAATGTTAGGAGAAGCACTCACTGTGTTCCACCAAACAGAGGAAATCAGCAGCCAAGGATGGCAAAAACTCAGTCTCCAAGTTCTTGGGCTAAAACATCCCGAATGAACTTCAATGTACGTTGGTACAGGAAAGCATCCTTCTTCTTTGGCTTGCAAATATTTAGATGATTAACATCCACTGGAATAAGGTCTCCAATTCCTAGCTCTAAGAGAGGGGGGGAAAAAAAAAGAAAAAGAAAAAATTACCAAAGTTCAAAAGATCACCCAGATCAAAAAGCACATCTTGCATTAGCAACTTCTCTCTCAAAACCAATTTCTCCTGTCTTCAGTTTATCTGGTTTGTCCTCATTATTTTTTAATGCGCTAAAGCACCAACACACAATCACAGAATCACAGAATGATACGGGGTTTGCTAAAGCACCAACACAGAATCACAGAATCATGGAATGATATGGGGAGTTCTTGGGCTAAAACATCCCGAATGAACTTCAATGTACGTTGGTACAGGAAAGCATCCTTCTTCTTTGGCTTGCAAATATTTAGATGATTAACATCCACTGGAATAAGGTCTCCAATTCCTAGCTCTAAGAGAGGGGGGGAAAAAAAAAGAAAAAGAAAAAATTACCAAAGTTCAAAAGATCACCCAGATCAAAAAGCACATCTTGCATTAGCAACTTCTCTCTCAAAACCAATTTCTCCTGTCTTCAGTTTATCTGGTTTGTCCTCATTATTTTTTAATGTGCTAAAGCACCAACACAGAATCACAGAATCATGGAATGATATGGGGTTGGAAGGCACCTCTGGAGATCATCTAGTCCAACCCCCCTGCCAAAGCAGGTCCACCTAGGGCAGGTTGCACAGGAACGTGTCCAGGTGGGTTTTGAATGTCTCCAGAGAAGGAAACTCCACCACCTCTCTGGGCAGCCTGTTCCAGGGCTCTGCCACCCTCAAAGTAAAGAAGTTCCTCCTCATATTTAGATGGAACTTCTTATGTTCAAGTTTGTGCCCATTTCCTCCTCTTCTGTCTCTGGGCACCACTAAAAAAAGATCCCACCTCTTGACACCCACCCTTTATAGGTGTTGATCAGACCCCCCCCATCAGTTTTCTGTTCTCCAGATTGAAAAGACCCAAGTCCCTCAGCCTTTCCTCGCAAGAGACATGTTCTAGGCCCCTAATCATCCTTTCTGGGCACCACTAAAAAAAATCCCATCCTCTTGACACCCACCCTTTATAGGTGTTGATCAGACGCCCCCATCAGTTTTCTATTCTCCAGATTATAAAGACCCAAGTCCCTCAGCCTTTCCTCGCAAGAGACATGTTCTAGGCCCCTAATCATCCTTGTGGCCCTAACACACACACTGTTACAGTCAGAGCTATACATTGCTACAAACCCCACACTGCTAAACCATTAGATCAGAGTTCTACTACTTTGATTGGGAATGCACAAATGTGCATTTCTCCATGGAGACTACTGTGAAGAATCAAACCTTCATTTCCCAGCACCTGACTGGCAGCTAAGTTCTGACTGAAGTTTAAGCACTGATGTTAGCAGAGACAGGGTTTAATCCGGGGTATCCAGATTCTGATCACCACTAACTGCCCACATTCCTTATAAAATACTTTGATGTGGAGATTAAAACCGGGACTAGAATGAACTTGAAATACGCCACAGATCAACACAGACATTTCTGGAGACATGAAAAATTTACATTGCTCATTTGCAGAATGGAAGTATTCCATTTCCATTCCTCCCCTGTGAAGACAGACTGAGAGAGTTGGGGTTGTTCAGCTTGGAGAAGAGAAGGCTCCAAGTAGACCTTCCAGTACCTGAAGGGAGCCTACAGGAGAGCTGGAGAGGGACTCTTTGTCAGGAAGTGCAGTGACAGGACAAGGGGTAACGGTTTTAAATTGGAAGAGGGGAGATTTAGATTAGATACCAGAAAGAAATTCTTTCCTGTGAGGGTGGTGAGACATTGGAACAGGTTGCCCAGAGAAGCTGTGGCTGCCCCATCCCTGGAGGGGTTCAAGGCCAGGCTGGATGGGGCTTGGAGCAACCTGGTCTGGTGGGAGGGGTCACTACCCATGGCAGGGGGGGTGGAACTGGATGATCCCTAAGGTCCCTTCCGATTCTAACCATTCTATGATTCTATGATTTTTAGCTACTGATTTTGGGGCACACCACGGTATTTATTCTTTCCTGAGATCTATCACCACTAGCAAACTTTCCAGTTAGGGTGCTGTGGCTGCCACATTCCAGTTTCTTGTCTCCTCACTCAAGTTTCTGCTTGAAGAAAAGGAAGGTTTGTTTTTGGGTGCCCAAGTGTGCACGTAAGAATCAGCGAGTGCACTGCACGAGTGACACGTCACGGACCCATCCTGTACCCTCTTGTGAGATCTCATGTGCTCCATAGTGCGTCACCTCTAGAAGAGCAGAAATATGCTACAAAATGATAAGAATCAGTGAGTATACTGCACAAGTGACATGTCACTGAACCATCCTGTACCCCCTAAGGGCTTGTGAGAGCTCACGTGCTCCATTGTGCATCATCTCTAGAAGAGCAGAAATATGCTACAAAATGATAAGCGCACGCTGCTTATTTGTGCGCTCTGTTATCCAGCCCTCTTTCTCATTTTATTTTGTTAAATCAAAGAAAAAAGAGAACACCCAGTTTTTCAGGCCTCCCCAATAAAATTGCAGCAGCATCATTTTTGCAAACAATTGCTTCTTGAGAAGACATACTGAAAAAATACTCATAAATACTGACTGAAGAAAACAGGGATGTATCGTCCCCCTTTTTCAGAGGAACTAACCCTGCATTTAACCTTGTGGATCTAGCTGGTGGAAAGCCTGACCTAAAACCCAACAAAGCAACAGTTTCTGTTCCAGGCCTTACATGTAACTTGGGCAGAGCAGAAGAGGGTTTGGCTCAGGGGAGACCTGAAAACATCAGACTTAAACCAATTCTCTAAGTTGAACACCCATAAACAAAGCAAGAAAAAGAAGAGTCTGGTTTTCCTTTCTCCTACAAAAGGCAAAAAGATGGAGGGAACTCTTCAGGAGGCAAACTCTGTTACTTGAGTGCCTGAGATATGGAAGATAAAGGATTCTTAACACTGAAAACCAGCTTGTGACCTTTTCTTTCCATTAGCAGTTTACTAATTTTCTTTCTTATTTTTTAAAGGAGGAAATAGCTGGAATTTGTGGGAGCTATTCAGCCTACCTATACAAAGATAAACAACAGTTACTCAGAATTACAAAGGAAAGGACTACAACAACGTAACTTAGACCAGGGTCTACCCTGCTTTTTTTCAATAAGCAAGTGTTACTTGCATTTAGAAAAATCAAACTAAACAATTGCTGTTCTAAGATAAAAATGTAGCAGCCTCTGATCTCAGCAGGGAGACCCTAGTTTAAACTCAGCCAAAAGTTTAAACAAAAAACCACACAACATAACAGATGTATTTTTCTAGGTCTTTCCGCTATAGTATTTCTAAAACTCCCTCATTATCGATGCGTACATGAATATATACAAAATTAAATAAATTAAATGGCTGTTTGACATACCTGCTGATTCCAGAGGCACGACGTGCAGTTTGATCATGCTGCCTATGTGTGTTGGTAAGGTTTCTGCGAAACTCAGCACTGAAAATTTCTTATCTTTTGCAAAAGACAGGAAGTCATCATTCAGCTCTTTAAGGGCAGGAGAATCTGAGAAAGAGCAACAGAACTTTCGCAGTGTTATCTTGAAGATAAGATTATAGCATTTGTCTGGCAAGATGGCATCCCTAAAGAGATGTTTTGGAAAAATTAATACTCCAGTAAAAGGAGTAGTGTTTTGTTTGTAATCCCTTTTTCCAGCAATCACGTGCAACAATTGTTTATTTCTGCATAGCATGGCATTTGTTCAGAAGACAAGAGTCTATAAATTCAGCACACGTTGAGTCACTACACTGCTAAATGACCCAAACTACTCTTCTATGAACTTGTTCTGACTCCCTTTTTCCCCCTGACCTCTACAATCAAATGAAACAGTTACTCGCAATTACTTGCAGGAATTCAACACACAACCCAAAACATAAAAAGGGGTTTTGTTGTTTTCATCCAGCTTTTTCTGACAGCACCATAAAAAAACCCATCATGAACAGATCAGCACAGATCCCCGTTGTTAAATGGTAGCAAAGTGAGCCTACCCTTGCTGAGTTCTTTGACCTCCACAGAGGGAAAGAGAAGATATCTGGCATTTATAGAATATTCAGCCAGCTGGGAACCATGGTGAGGCACGCTATAAAATATGATTCCTCTGGTGTTGTTTACAATTTTATCCATTTCTGGATTCTTGGAAGCTTCCACCAGCATCTTTTTGACTAGAAGACCTGGCAACAGAAATGGAATTAATGCAGGGATTTAAAGCACTGTGAAAATAATGATCATGCTATATTATCCATGAAACAACCAACCGTATTCTCGCCTCAGTTGATTAGTCCTTAGTTTTTCAAATATCTAAGATTAAGTTGAAAAAAAGCCCCAAACCAAACCTGAGGAAGCATTAAAATAAAATGTCAACAAACGATGCAAATCCAATTTTGGTTTACTTTAAGTGTTGCTAATGACATTTACTATATGCCTAATCACGGAGAAAATTTTGCCTCTGGATTCCCATTTACATGAATTTCAACTCATTGATTTTTTTTGCTTTTAAATCAACACAGTGAAAACAAACAGCAATAAAAATCCTTACAAATTGTATGCGCTATTGAATGCAATACATTAAGAAAATAGAAATCTATTTTCCATCTTTAGGTCTTTGCAAATTTTTAAGATAAACTATTCTGAACAATTGCATTTCAGATGGAATTTGGTTAACGGCTTATTCTGCAATATAACAGCAAATAAATACTTGCTATCAAAGAGGCACTGTGCTTACCACCCATGCTGTGTGATACCCACACCAGAGGCCTCTCTCCAATCCCAGCAGCTCTCAGCTTGTCGAGAAGCTCATTGCTCCTGTAAGCAATAGACTTCCTGCAAAGGAAAAACAAACACCAGGGCGATGAGGCATGAGAGGTTAAAAGGCAACATTAAAAAAGAATGAATTTTCAGCGCTGCATGTTTATGAAAGTGAATTAGGTACTAAAACATTAATTACACAATTATTGTTACTACATTGGAAAATGCCAAAAACTTTTGGCTTCACAAGCACAACAGGAATTGTGCTAAATTCAGTCTCGCAATCTTGCTAGAAAGTTTTATTTTAATTTCACTCACCACTCGCTTCCTTTAGCTTTAGTTCGACAAATCTCTTTATGGAGTTTTAGTTAGTTTTATTTACACATTGTAAGAAAATTATGTTTTTGTTTCATGAAAGCATCATCAATGCAAAATGAACTTTATCCCCTGAAACAAGAATATACCTAAAGTCTGACATTTGCTAAACAGCACTCGAGATGTGGAGCAACGTACAGGAATTTAATAACTAAGTGCATGATCAATCAATACGTTATCTGTGATTTTTTGAATGTCTGTTATACTTTCCAGACAATAATCTCCAAGTGCTTTGTACTAGAATAGCATAAAAGCACAACAATCTCTACTTTATAAATGAAGAGACTGAGCTCTGGCAAAGCTAAGCTATACATTAGAGGTAGAAAATGAATCTGTGGTGGAACCAAAACAAAACCAATGCCAATTCCCAATCCAAGCTTGAAAGTTCAACATGGTTACTCCGTGCAGTGTAACAAGAATCAAACACAGAAGACTCTTGGATAATGAAAACATCAGGATATTGGGGCAACCACTGTGCAAAGTAATTCACTTCATCTCTATCGGTTCTCAGCATTCTCACTAGAAATTGCTTTTATAACACCTATGAAAAGGATACTCAAATGTGTCTTTTCAGCTGAACAACAGGCTTTAGGATAGCTGCGAGACATAAAAATTCACTTTTGAAACAGTGACTGAGCCTATACATTTAGAGCAATCATAAGGTTGTGATTCTACTGCTACATCTTTGCTCCTGCTAGTTAAAAATAGCTTCAATATCTTTTGTTTTTGATTAACCATACCAAATTATTAAATAATCAAATACTATGCTTGAGTGAGCATAAATAGCAGGTCATGTAATTTTCCATTTTGTAATGAAAAAGACATTACTTTAAAATAAATAAATAAATCAACATTTCTTTTTCAAATTTTCTTCCATTATACTTACTCTAGACGGACACCGGAAAAAGGTTCTCTTAGAAGCATAGAATCATTTAGGTTGGAAAAGATCTTTAAGATCATCGAGTCCAACTGTTAACCTAAGACTGGCAATGACCTGGACAAGGGGTTCAGTTTTGGGCCCCTCACTACAGGAAAGACATGTCCAGAGAAGGGAAATGAAGATGGTGGGGTGTCTGGAGAAAATGTCTTATGAGGAGAGGCTGAGGGAGCTGGGGTTGTTCAGCCTGGAAAAAAGGAGGCTGATGGGAGACCTTATCACTCTTCACAACTACTTGAGAGGAGGGTGTAGAGGGAGGGGGGTTTGTCTCTTCCCCCAAGTACAGGTGATAGGACAAGAAGAAATGGCCTCAAGTTGCATCAGGGGAGGTTTAGACTAGATATTAGGAAAAATTTCTTCAATGAAAGGGTTGTGGAGCATTAGAACAGGCTGCCCAGGGAAGTGGTGGAGTCACCATCCCTGGAGGTATTTAAAATTTTGACAGACGGATGTGGTGCTGAGGGACATGGTTTAGTGGTGGACTTGGCAGTCTTAGGTTAACAGTTGGACTTGATCATCTTAATGGTCTTTTGCAACCTAAATGATTCTATGAAAATTATATGCTTAATTTTATCATGAGTATAAAGTCACAGTACAGTGATTTTTTGCTGTGCTGGGTCATTTTAAATTTACGAAATATTTCCTTTATGATATAAAACTGATGCTATATTTACACCAACTAATAGCATCGTTTATTGTCTCCCCTAAACAGGAAGCAGAACAGACTGTAAGAATTTAGGAAGTTGCCACACGTAGTCATCCATGAGGCTAAAAAGCTCAAGCGTACCATGATTGTACCTAATGTTTTTCCAAACCGGATCTTTAAACGCAACAGGAAAAGTTAAATTCACTGTTTCACACTAGGTGATCCCAAAGATCAGCTTTACAGGTCTCCCTCCTGCCCCTCCTGCAAAGTGCAGGCACTACATTTGTTACCTGTGAGCCTCAACGGGACATTTTGCTTTCCAGTCACTCAAATGGGTGTCGTATTCCACAGATATGATCCTCAGGGCAGGACAGTCTGAAGCCAGCCACGACTACATTAAACAAAAGCAAAACCAGAAGGAACTTATAACTGCAGTACTTAAACTCTTGCAAGTAATTTATCAGCGATGGAGCAAAGATGTTACTGCAGGGACAATATCAAGGAAGATTTTTGCTCTTCAGTTAATCCCCAAATACTACTTACACCGAAACTATTTTTCTTTTATTACATACTGGTGAACTCTAGCCTGTTCTCCAGCCACAAAGGAGGCAGAGGATGGAGATGGATGACTAACTCCCTCTCCTGGGTGAAATACGAATCGCTGAGCTTACCATCAGGACTGATCAGTTTAAGTTTTACAGAGATACTTTGGAGGTTGTAGAAAGGTATCCTCTGGACAGCTCTCATTCATGAGAAAAAAAGCAGCCACACGTGGAAATGTTATTGTCTTTTTACCTTTGGCCAGCACTGGCTGTAGTCCTCTTCCCCTTCTGAAGCCTTTTTATCCGAACGCCGGTCAACGTCTTGCTGTCGCCAGGTTTTAAATGCTGCTCCCAAAAGACCATGAACAAAAAGGATGTCTGCTCTGATGGGCTGACTGATACAGAAAAAGGAATGTTTAAGTGATGCATGGTACATATTCTGTTAGCAAATTAAATTTACACAGAACTTTTACCCTAAGGAATGCCAAGAAGGTATTTTTAACATTCTATGTGATTTCTTATCTTACAGACAGCACTTAATGACTTTTCAAAGAGGATACTCAGATCAAGCCAAAAAGCAGGGATCCACCCAAAAGAAGGAGATATAAAAGGAGGTATGGAAAGTACTCACCTCACAAATTATATTTTTCTATAATAAAACCCACCATTCTCTCCAGCTACTGTTAATGCAGCTTGATAGTTCCAGCTTTATCATCAAATTAGATCTTCACTGTAACCTGACTAACACCAGTCACCCAGGGAATAGCTGCTACTAAGTGGCATATCATGTTGGAGACTGCTTCAGTCCCAGATACACAATCACTATTAAAAGAAGCTGAAGCTGTAAATTTACTGTGTCTTAGGCCAACATGTGCTGCTGCCAACACAATAATTAGAAGGCACTATATCCCAAGACAGCCAGTGCAAAGGTTAAAGGGTTGCTTGTGTTTGGATTTCTCCGTGCAGTGCAATAATACTCCTTTCATGGCTATAAACCGCTCCCAGCACTTCTGTTGTTCTCCTGTTTGAGAATCTAAATTCAGGCCTCTCAACCCACCAAGGAACAGGAGGAGCAGGTGACATGAGTACAGCAGCACTCTCATGTCAACTCTTCCCAAGTTTTGGACCTGAGCAGCATAACAAGTAACTCAAAGTACAGCACGTACGATATCTCCTTCTGCTTTACCTGCTACGATACTGCGGATGTAAGACATAAACACCATCTGGATACTTTTCTTTCACCGTGTCCCTGTCTAGATTAGCCAAAGCTCTGGCTGCATGAGAAGACTGAATGACATGTGGGGATTTCATGACTTCAGCAAGTACAGAAACCCAACCTGCATTGAAAAAATAAAGCGGCAGGTCAACTAATTAGAAACATCATCCAAACAACAGAATTCAGAAACATAATTCTTCGAAGTATATTTGTGAAAATAGATGTTAACACTTAAGAACAGTAACCCCAAAACAAATTATTTTGATTCACTCTCTTTACTGCAGAAAAACCAATGGGAAATAAGTAGAACTTCCAAAATGCAAAAATCCAGAGCAGTGAGGAGGCAATGTATTCCTAGGCTTCAGCTTATGATCTGAAGGAGAACCCCTTCTCAGAAGAAAAAGAAAGTGTATCAGCAGGTCAGAGCAGTTGTCAGAGAGAGAACAGATCTCGAGCCTTTTTTTGCAGGTAAGATGCAAGGAAGACAGAGAAAAGAAACATCTGAGAGAAAATGAAGCTTAAAGCATAAGACATGGACAACAACCCACAGGGATAACAGCAAGTGGAAAAATCGATGCTTGCTGTGAGAGTACAACCATTCCCAATTCCAAAATCCAGTGTGTGAAAAACTGTTTAAGGAATTAAAATGCCCTTGCTATTCTAAAAATAGTGTACTACTTATAGCTAAGAAACATACAAAAATTAATGAAGGAAACCTTTGAATCCATTCCTCAATAAAATTTTAAGTGACAGCTAACTCAAGAGAAAAAACAGACACTTTATAATATTTTACTTAAGATGTAAAATCCAGTTTCTTAGACATGATGGGGATGTTCATAGACTACTGAGAAATGCAAAGGACTATCTTTTATACACACAGAAACACATATATTTCTTTAAAATCCTGACAAATCTTGCTGCTAGCAAAAGTGGTGTATAAATCACAATTACATTAAAGTTAAGTTTATAACTTTGAAGAGCAATTTTCAAATGGAGGCTGATTGCAAAACGCAGAAACAATTTACTTCATGAGCACTGTTTCAAAATCACATACAATACGTGGCTACCAGTATAGCCAGTAAGATAGATTGTTCACTGTGGATGGAGGAGAAGAATGACTTAACATGTGAGTTTTGCTTAAATGCAAGTAGCATTGAAAAAATAAAGCGGCAGGTCAACTAATTAGAAACATCATCCAAACAACAGAATTCAGAAACATAATTCTTCGAAGTATATTTGTGAAAATAGATGTTAACACTTAAGACATTGAAAAAATAAACGGCAGGTTAACTACTTAGAAACATCATCCAAAGGAAAGAATTCAGAAACATGTTACTTCAAAGTATATTTGTGAAAATAGATGTTAACACTTAAGAATGGTAACCCCAAAACAAATTATTTTGATTCACCCTCTTTACTGCAGAAAAACCAATGGGAAATAAGTAGAACTTCTAAAATGCAAAAATCCAGAGCAGTGAGGAGGCAATGTATTCCTAGGCTTCAGCTTATGATCTGAAGGAGAACCCCTTCTCAGAAGAAAAAGAAAGTGTATCAGCAGGTCAGAGCACTACATTTCAGCTTATGAACCCCTTCTCAGGAGAAAAAGAAAGTGTATCAGCAGGTCAGAGCAGTTGTCAGAGAGAGAACAGATCTCGAGCCTTTTTTTGCAGGTAAGATGCAAGGAAGACAGAGAAAAGAAACATCTGAGAGAAAACGAAGCTTAAAGCATAAGACATGGAAAACAACCCACAGGGATAACAGCAAGTGGAAAAATCGATGCTTGCTGTGAGAGTACAACCATTCCCAATTCCAAAATCCAGTGTGTGAAAAACTGTTTAAGGAATTAAAATGCCCTTGCTATTCTAAAAATAGTGTACTACTTATAGCTAAGAAACATACAAAAATTAATGAAGGAAACCTTTGAATCCATTCCTCAATAAAATTTTAAGTGACAGCTAACTCAAGAGAAAAAACAGACACTTTATAATATTTTACTTAAGATGTAAAATCCAGTTTCTTAGACATGATGGGGATGTTCATAGACTACTGAGAAATGCAAAGGACTATCTTTTATACACACAGAAACACATATATTTCTTTAAAATCCTGACAAATCTTGCTGCTAGCAAAAGTGGTGTATAAATCACAATTACATTAAAGTTAAGTTTATAACTTTGAAGAGCAATTTTCAAATGGAGGCTGATTGCAAAACGCAGAAACAATTTACTTCATGAGCACTGTTTCAAAATCACATACAATACGTGGCTACCAGTATAGCCAGTAAGATAGATTGTTCACTGTGGATGGAGGAGAAGAATGACTTAACATGTGAGTTTTGCTTAAATGCAAGTACCTTTGAGAACTGTAATTTTTTTAAAGATTACATATTTAAATTACATTTCTAAACAGAATATTGACCACTGTGCAAGCTCTCCTTAAGAACACCACTACCTAAAAATCTATTTCAGGTCTCCAAGTACAATGAAAGACTGCCAAGCCAGCCTCACTACAACCAGCAAGGTCTCTGGTTTTCCATTTCTCTTAAAATGAGCCAAGATGAACAATCAAAAATGGCATTCAGAATTCTTCTGTCCCCAGATCCCCATCACAGCTACGCCACTGTACATCACTGCTTTTCTCCCTCTTCCTGTGCCAGCAGTTTTTTGCAAAGGAAAAGAGCCTTACAGTTTCTTTCTTCTTTTGCATCACCCAGCAACAAAAGAGAAGTATTATCAGCTCTTGTCCAGCAGCATCCAACTGCTCATCTCTGCAGTCCTGTTCACTAGCTACAATTCCTTTTTGTTCTGAGAGCTCTGCCCCATGGAGCTGCTGACTCCTCTGCTACAATCTCTTCCTCTATACCTATGGTTTTAGCAGTCATCATAAGAAAGTAAGAATGGTGCTAGAGCTCAGACCTAAGCTCTCTGCAGCCCAGCTGTCTTTCTCCAAAAGAAAGCAGTAATGGAAGTTGCAGAACAATAAAAGAATAGAGCAATAAAAGGGCAAGTATATAGTCCTGATTCTCCACTATACCCTCTCAGCTTTCAGCAAGCAATTTCGCTTCTGCATATAGAGCTTTACGGATTTTTTTCTTTCCATTAATTTGTCTAATCACTTTTTGAAGCATTGTAAGTCTTCAACAACCACAATGTTTTGTGGCAAGTTTTACTTTTGTCATGCACTGTACGGAAAAAAAAAAATATTTATTTGTTCTGCCTCTTGAAAATTGATGTACAAGAACCTTTGGTCTTGCATTACAAGAAACAGCAGATTATTATTCCCTCTTTGCCTTCTCTACGCCAGTGATAATTTTATGAATCATAGAATGGTTTGGACTGGAAGGAACCTTAAAGATCAAGTACTTCCAACCTCCCTGCCATGGCCAGGGACACCTCCCACTAGAATCTCTCATCATATTCTCTTTCAGTAGCTTCTTCTGTCTTAGTCCAGTCATTTGTTCTTTATACCACAATCATTCTAAATTTTAACCACCCTCATGGTCTTTCCCTGTGCCTTTGCTACTTCTTTTGCAACAGGGAGATTAAAAATGCACACTGCATTTAAGAGGCAGACACCAGCTCGGACGTATACAACAGCATATTGATATGTTCTATTTTTCTTTTTATTTCTTTCCTAATAAGACATTAGAAATTACTTATTTGGTACAGAACTTTCATTACGATATTTAGGTGTATTAAAAAAGAGGCACCAGAGCAAAGCTTAGCAGAAATTACTAAGGCTAACGTGAAACAAGGGAGGGTGGGAAGGAATGTTTCACTTTGTTCCAAAAGGTAAGGACTGCAACCTGGTCTGTTCCCTCATGAGACTAAAACACAAGATTAAAAATGCACCCTGCATTTAAGAGGCAGACACCAGCTTGGACGTATACAACAGCATATTGATACGTTCTATTTTTCTTTTTATTTCTTTCCTAATAAAAGATTAGAAATTATTATTTGGTACAGAACTTCCATTACAATATTTAGGGGTATTAAAAAAGGGGCACCAGAACAAAGCTTAGCAGAAATTACTAAGGCTAACATGAAACAAGGGAGGGTGGGAAGCCCCACAACACTCCCACAGTCCTTTTCATCTTACAAAAGCACCAAGTCCTCTGAAAATTTTAGAATAGAAATGTGACATTCAGACTGCTTGCACTGGCTTTCCTTTTACCTGCACGTACTATGGATGAATGAAGCCGTTCATCCAAAGCCATGTTTCCAATAATGCGAATTATGTTCCTTTGTATTTTTGCAGAATCTTTACGTTGCTGGTATATCCTCTGTAGCAGCTGAAGGCCTCCTTTTGCTTCAATTTTATCACAGTGAGAAGAAACCTAGCATTATACAGTAAATACAATGACAGTAAGTAGACACTCTGCAAAAGGTTCCTTGAGATGCTGTTAATTCACAAATTAGGGAACTTTAAGAAGCCAATATGATGCAGAGCCCTTATTACACAGAAATTCTTATTAATCTAGAATTTATTACACCATAGTTGAAGAGGAAGCAACTATTTTAACACGCTAAATGCATGATTTTTAATGGATTGACAACCTGAGAGATGCTGAGTACCACCACTCTAGTCTCCTCCGCATCTGAGGGAGATCAGATTTCTCTCCACTTGGCATCATCAAATTTCAACTAAAGTTCAAGAGTCTGAACAGAACAATTGTCTGCTTTTCTTAAAGTGCTACCTCAGCCAGAGCTACTTATCTTCCTGTTCACCACCGAAAATGCAATCATTATAATCCCTTCTCTCTGAAATGTAAAGGTATTCCTACATTCCAAATAGTACTGCTATTGTTATTGATCCTAAGGGCAACAATGAATTCTAGTCCAAGCAGATGCCTATGTGCTAATTAGTTGTAGTGTCAACTACTGATATTGGCCAAATGCTTATAATTTGAACATGTTGTCTACAGTGCTTTAAAATGTGTGGTACTTATGGAACTGCTGATGTCCTGAAGTCTGTGGCTTTCAACAGACACACATTTGGAACAAGTATAGTCACAACTTGTTCCACCTGAAAATCTGGAATAAAACAAATTCTAGACTAAGTCAGAATTTCTAAGTATATGGAAGATGCGAGGGACCTTTGTGAACAGCCAAGATTTGTATTCCATACTGGCTTCTAATGGGAGTGAATTCAAGAGGCTACTTTGCTTTCTGGAAACCTGACACTAGCCTTAGATTAAGAGCCGTAAGAAGAGATCAGTCGTAAGCTTTCTGAACTGATGTACACCAGCTCACACAAATCCACCCATACTTTGCATCAAGAATTTCATATCATCACTATCTTGCTTACTGAGAAGCTGCAGAGTGGAAACATGAAGCGTTCCTTCATCATATCTATCTCCAATGACTTTGAGCATCAGTGGGAGGTAGCGCTACACAAAGACTCGTTAAAGCCTTTGGACTTCAAGCATTTTCTCCTGCTTTTCTGTGTCAGAGCTGCCCTTTGACTTCTTGAAAGATACCACAGGGGAATTATAAGGGTTCATTTGAAACAGTAACAGAACTTACATACACTTCCCATGAGAAAAAATGAGTTTGTTATGTTGCCTTCCAACTCCCATCAGTCTCAGTTTTCTGAATATCCTTATAAAAGGGGTGAGGGGTAGGAGACATGGAAATGGCAACTCCTTCCCAATATATGAGAGAGCATTATGTTCATAAATGTAGCTTTTCAGTTATAAAGGACAAATTACCTTCGAATGCTGTACTAAAGCTTGCAAGCAAAAGAGTTCCACTGTCTCTGAAGGGATTTTACTCAATGTCTCGCAATATGGAAGTCCATTTCCTCCAAAACACCATAAGCCTCCCTGAAATGAGAATCAGTAAAAATTATACCACATTCCAAACAGCTACATAAAATAAGCATTTCTAAACTAAAACATTAAGTGCATAATGATCTATAGAAATTGCTCAAAAGAGCACACAGCATGCAGGCACTTTTCAAAATGTACAAATCACACAACAGTACACTATAAAACTATCTAATATTTTTAACTGAAAATATTAACTAGATTTTCAGTCAGTAGTCTCCATAGTCTATTAACTTCAAAACATACAATAAAGTGACAAAATGTAGAATTTTCACTTTGTTAATGAACGTTTTCTTTTAAGATAGTTTGCTTAAGCATAAAAAAAGCAAGAATCAGGTTGCTTCTAGACTTCCATAGTTGCAAAAACGAGGAGGAAAAAAGGTTTTCAGCATGTAGCACAGTCTCTGAAGACCGGTCTCTCTCAATCATGCAGTAGGAACCTCAATAAAAAACAGTTTTCTAGAACTGTGTGATTTTCAAAACGCTTCCAAGTGTGGTGTCTTACCAAAGCTCCCTTTGTAGCAAGAGCTCTGGCTGCGAAAAAAATAAAGGAGTGATAATGTAAAAATATTACACATAACTGTGTCATAGGAAATAAAGGGTTACTGAGCTCTGAAATATCTAAAGAAAGCCTGACAGGCATCATTATTAAAATATGACAGTCATTTTTATTATTGCATCTTACAAAAAATAATCATCACCAATTTTAAAAGTCACAACTTTTTAATAAAAAAAATAAAATGCACAAGAGATAGCGGATGACACTGGCATTACAATTATTATTTTTAAGCAATAGTGGCACTTTAAATGACGTTCCTAAAGCCACTTGGGATGTTGTTGGGCAGACAGAGTTAAGAATTCCTAGTTTCCAAGTCCAAACAGACCACTAGAATAGTCCAATTCTGGTTTTGGCAACAGTGACCCATTACAGGAATTTTGAAACATCAAATACTACAGCAGTGAGCACTACAGAGAAAAGGAGATAACAAAAAGCAACTCGATTCCCAAGTACTGGCCATCTTGTGCACTGAAATCCCGAGATAACAGTATTCTCCTACAAACATGAGACAGTTATGTTAAATTAGTAAACAAAGCTTCAGCTTTGGTACATCCCAGCTTTCAAATGTTTTCAAACACAGCTTTTTGATGTAAAGTGCTTGGGGAAATTAATTATCATTTTAAAGAGGCAATGTGAAACAAGATAAACCCCATGGCATGGAATTGCACTGGAAGAGTAAAGGTCCTCAACTGGCTGGTTACCAGAATGAGAGTGAAAAATCAGAGTGTCACCTAGTTTATGTGGACTAATGATGGAGGAGGACACACATATAGACACATACACACCCTTTATATGGGGTTTCAAGGATATTTACTGCTCGAACAACAGGGAAGACTTATTACTACCAAATAATAACTTGGATGGAAAATGGTTTACAAATAAGTAACCTGAAGAGGACTTACAGGAATGATGGGGAGGGACTCTTTAACAGGGAGTGGAGCCATAGGACAAGGGGTAATGGTTTTAAACTGAAGGAGAGGAGATTTAGATTAGATCTCAGGAAGAAATTCTTTACTGTGTGGGTGATGAGGCACTGGAACACCCTGGGGGTGTTCAAGACCAGGCTGGATGGGGCTTTGAGCAACTTGGTCTAGTGGGAGGTGTCCCTGCCCATGGCAGGGGGTTTGGAACTATAGGATCTTTAAGGTCCCTTCCAACCCAAACCATTCTATGACTCTATGAAATAATGCTTCCACACACAAATCTTCCACTTTTAGTTTGTCATCACTCCCTTGCTACTACTACCTATCAGCTCCTAACCAATTTTTATTAGCCATGGCCTTAAACTCAATCCTGCAGAGCCTTATAAAAATCACTGCCAGAACTTGTGACCATATTAGCAGTCCCAACAGAAAAAACAAGGAACTAATGAGCATGAACTGGTCTCCCACACCACAGCAGTGGTTTCAGTCCTCTGGTGGGGAACCAGAGAGAGGCCTGCACCGCAGACACACTCCACATCTGGGGATTAGGAAAGAACACTTGAAATGTAAATAACCCCCCTACATTTTAGACCAAATTTCAGAGCTTATTTACACTTCTTGCAGCTACTAGCTTTTTTTCATGTTGGCAGCAGACTTGGAACAGGTAACTGAGACTTTGTCACATTTCTGGGATGAATTAGGCTACATCAGCATACGTTACCGTGCCAGTGGTGGTTGTTTGCCAGGTCTTGTACAGCCTGAAGTCGGACCTCTTTGTCTTCTGACTGACTTCTCTTTAAGAGAAGCCATAAGGCACATTCATGATCTTCTCCATCAAATGTACCAAATTGTTCTTTTACCAGGAAAGAAATAAAACCCATTTGTTATTAATGAGCATTTTAGCAGCCACATTTCTATTTGTTGAGCAAAAAACTCCATTTGTCTTAATATCTGCGTATTAGCCATGAACAGTAATTTAGTACTGTTTTAATACTAAATTAGTACAAGAAACAGTAACAGAATGACATCGGTAAAATGCTGATCTTTAAATCAATAGGATGGGTTTGATTCATTTTAGTGGCACCAAGTTGATATTTCATACACATGTTGCACACACAACGCCCTGGCTGGCAATTACCAACCAGAATTGCCAGCTTCCAGCAAGAGCTGTACACACAACACCCTGGCTGGCAATTACTAACCAGAATTGCCAGCTTCCAGCAAGAGCTGGAAATGATTAGCAACTCTTGAGGCTTCGACCTTGAACAATTAATTTCATAGCATGACCGTGGAGGTACATATTGTTATAATCATTTAACAGATAGTTAAATGAGAACAGATAGTATGCCTGAGGAGCACAGTTTCTTATATGAATTGAAATTCTTATTTTAAATTAGTCTAAAAAGCAGTGACATGATGTTACAAAAGGATCGCTGCTTCAGTTAATAATGGCAATTATAACATATTTTTCTAAGATGAATTTTTGAGAGTATTTCATCCCCCAAACACCTTTTGTACACCGGTATCAAAAATTAATCTGATATCTTAGGCTTCAAACCTCTCCTGAAACAGGAAAAAAAATCTCAAAATCTCTTCTTAACCATCACTTTCATTTACTTTAAGAAAAGGAATGGTTTCAATACATAGAAAATATCCTAATATTCTATAGTAATATAGAAAATTTATAAGTCATATTACCACCATTTCAAACACAAAATAACATAGTACGTTTGTAAGAAAAAAATACTTTAGTTTCTAAAAGTTTTACTATTCAAAAATAATAATAATGACAGATAAAGCCATGCTTTCAATACATACCATTAAAAGGTCTCCGGAGAAATTTAGCTTCTGTTTCTAGAATTTTCCTCACTGCTTTATGGATTTCTTTTCTGGCTTGGTATGTGATCCCTACAAGAGTATTTGTGGATTACTGGAAGTTTGAAAGACAGTCCTCTCACATTATTTTTGTATACATGAAAATAATAATATACATGTATATACATACAGACCCACATATATAGAATTATCTCATATATAGAGAACTGTATGTATGGAACTATCTTAAAAAGGCAGCAACCAGCTTAAAACAAATTTGGTGACATTGTGAAGAATATTATTTTTGTAACAGATCTCAGGAAATATAACTTTCTCTACATAAGGGTGACTTCCAGAAACATTCTATTCTCTTAAAATTCTATTTTCAGAATCCAAAGAAAGATGCATCTTACCTTGATATTCATTTGGGTTTAGAGAAGTTGTACGTACATACACATAGGATTTAAGTTTTTCGTGATTTATAGCTTGAGTATCGATTTGTAATAACTTCTTTAAGGACAGGACTTCATATGTAATGAACACAAAACCTCTTTAAAGAAAAGAAAACTATATGTGAATATAAATTAAAAAAATATGATGGCAAAAATATGTTAACAATCATTTTGGTACAAATCATCCAGATTTTAATAAATATATAATAGCCTGTAAATTATTTCAATTTAGCAAAGTAAAGACTCTAAAATACTCAAAATAAGGAATAAGTATCAGAATATATGCTTCAAAACTATATTCTACCATGTCTAAAGATCCCCTAATTTCGTCACATTTTTTGAAAGATACATGAATTAAAATTTTAACTGTATACATAAGTTACATATATGCTTGTCAGTTACAACTTACCCTAGTATAAGTGATCCAGTTACCTTTGCAATTTTTCCTTGAAAAAAAAATATAAAAAATTCATGTCAAACAAAGTTGTGTGCATCACCTCAATATAAACATAGTTAGTATTTCATTACCAGACAGTAAGAATTCTCAATACAAACAGTTAGTATTTCATTACCAGACAGTAAGAATGTCAGCCATTAACAGTAAGCTTTTTAAAATGTTGCTATTGCTCTCTGGCTTTCAGGAAATCATTACCTAAATTTACACACAGAGAAAACATTACTTGATTAGAATTTTCTGCTCTCCTAAGCAAGATAATAAAACATGTTTTCTGCCAGTGCTATTTACTTTCAATATAGCTACCTATCAGACAGATTCATAGCTCAGCTGCAGGAATCAACAGTAAACTTTCTCTGCCTGTGACACTAGCATTTATTTGGAACTCTAGATTATTTTAAGAAGTTAACTTTTTCTTCCATGGTGTGGATATTTCTTCAATGTATATGAATATACACAGCAATATGTATGTTCTTTGAAAAGTCCTGCAGAGTCCCCGTAAGAAAACATATTTTTAAAAAAAATTAATTATGAATTCCATAATATTAATCTAATTTATAAAGCAAACAGCTGAAAAAACACATGCCACTTGCAAGAATTTCCCTCATAAATCTAACGATTCCTGTGAGATTTGAGCATTTTTGCCTGGGCAAAGTTGAGCTGATTATCTGGATGTAAGAATCTCAAATACAGAGAAACTCTACATTATTATCAGTAGCAGTGAAACCCAATGGAACACATCTCACCTATCATGAATAATCTCTTTTCCTCAGCATGAATTGGGAGATTTGCCCCACAACCACTGCCACCAGGTCCTGTCTTTGCGAGACCATAAGAATTTTGCATGCAGACAAGAGGCAGCTACATGTTGAAGAAATAACTGGCAGAGAAGATTGAAAAGGCAAAAAAATATATGCAATGCTTCCTGTAGAGCAGAAATGGAAATAACCTCTCTTTTAATGCTCAAAACTAAACCAGAATAGTAAGAATTGTCATTCTATACAGAAGACACCAAGGCAGAGACTAAGCAGGAAAGACTGCTAACTAATACCAGTAGACAAGAAAATAAGAAAATCAGAAACAATAGAAACAAACTTTATTCACAGTTTATGGATGTAATTTTTTCATGGCTCTAGAGGTTACAAAAAAAATCAGATACAAAACAGAGTTTAAAAAGATTGCACTCGGGGAGGGAGCCTTCATCTCATGTTCTAATCCCAGATAATCTGCTGGTGTCATTTTATATATCACTATGCAAAGCAAGGTCAAAAGCAGACATCCACTTTAGGCAAATAGAAGCTTTTGATCGCAAAATATTCAGGGATTTAGATCTTTTGTATAATTAAATTATGATTGGCGTTGTACCAACACAGATTCTTCCTTTTTATTAATACCTCAGATCAATACACATAGAACTGTACTTACTGATATCATACCAGGGAAGGTGCGTTTTTGTGGCTGGACCAGAAGTTCCTATTTGTCTATAGCAAAATATACAGTAAGCGGCCACTGACATTCTGTGTAGTGAAAAAAAGAAAAGGAGAAAAAGAAAAAAAAAAAGAAAAAGCAATGATTGATTTGAAAATTAGAGCAGAAAACCTGTAGCAGTTTTTTTTTTCCTGTTTTTTTTACAGCAAAGGTCACACGAAACCATATTTGTGTCACTTCACTCCAAATAAAGTGCTCTAATTAAAGAAGTCTGCAAGGTCCTCAATTTAATAGGCTGCATTTCAATGACAAGAAAAGTTTAAAACAGTTTTTCATACAATTATGTTTTACTGTTGATTTTAGTGATTATATATCTCCAATTAACTTCTCGGCTTGTAATTAATTCTCCTTTCCTACTTAGTGACTCTCCCTTAAATACCAGATACAGTCATATCTCCATCAAGACATTACTCAATAGGACACGGGCTTTAATACAGCTCAGCAACCAACTGCTTTTAAAGTTCATAATTGCTGGTGTTAGCAAGTACATCTTTTATTTTGGCTAACAAAGCTCCAAGAACTACTACATATTTTTGCCTTTAAAGAGTAAATCTGACTAATACTTAATTCTTACGTATGCAAAGGAATGAAAACCTAGCCATAGCCATGAAGAAGGGGAGAACCTTTTCTAACCGTAGCAAATCAACATTACGAAGACACAGAATACAGACAGACTAAATGCACTGTATTCACTGAATGCCGAAATCAAACTAGAAATACTTTTTTTCTAAACAATCGCAAACATACATAAGGTATTTCAGAACCACCAAGTTCTGAGTGTACAAGCAACCCAATGCAAGCATTGAATCTTCTTGAAAGTAAAGCTCTCCATGAAAGTAGTATCAGAGTTCTTCACAAACATGAAATATTTGATTTATTAATATAATTCATTCTTCTGACCTATATAGGATGCAAGGCACTGAATTTTCCCCATTTTACAGGTAGGAAGATGAGTTAAGAAAAGCATGCTGCAACTTCCTAATGCATTCCAGGTATCTATCACCTTGCCTCTTTGAACAAGTGAGATTATTCAGGAGTGACAGTAAAGGAGCCATGCCCTGTAGACCACTGATCAAGGTTGTATCTTAACCTCTGCACAATCAGGTTGAAAGAAAGTATAGTTATATTAGCCAAGCACTGAAAACCAAGGCAATTTAGGCCAGGCAAAAGCACCAACTATTGTTTCTAGTACTCACATATATTTACCATTTTATGTATCAGCAAAACCTACTGCCTTTACATTTGATTTATATAAGAAAAACTCACTAAATTAGGAAAATAAACAAATTGGCGTTGGAAACCCGCAACAATCAAGTTCTGCATGTTACTCTTGCTGAAGACTTAATCTCAAGTCTTAGTGTACACACAATGTGTAGTAATTTTAGTATAAGAATTATGGCCTAATCCAGAAAGAATATTAAACATTTATAACAAACACAAAATACACCAAACCCAAGTTTTTTTCATAGACTGCAGAAGTTAAGATGACATTCATATTTCATGCTAAGTGAAATTTTAGCGTCTGCATTGATACATTTACACTGACTGAAATACTGAGTTAATCTGTTTAAGCGGATTTAAAACCACACCTTGCCCTCTCACATATTTATCAAATAATTATTATGTTGGAAATACAGGCATCCTTATTAAATGTCAAATTAAGTCTCTATTAGCAGAACATCGATTAACTTAAAATGGTAAAATGTCACGTGTGTAAATCTTGATCAATAAATCTGATCTTGAAATATGGGAGCCCCTGATTTTCTCCTTGAATTTAAGGTAATCTCCACAGACCAAAAATAGAGCTTATATCACTTTTAATGTCAGTGGCTAATTTCTCTAAACAAGGGGACTTTTTTGTTTCCTTCCATAATTTCCTTCCTTCCCTCTTTTGCTGTTTCCCCCAAAGTTTTGATTTTTCCCTTCTCTCTTGCTTGTGTTTGGGAGATTTTGAAAAAACGTCAGCATTACCCCCAGCACTGCCACAATCACGGCAGACAACTTTTTGGCTTCTGCCATTTCAGTATGGTGTTTATCCATTCCCTTCAACAGAGTACACAACACTGTGAAACACTTCTAAGACATTAATAATCAGTCCCCTGGAGACACCTCCCCTGCCTCCAAACTCTCTGTCCAATGCTTACTATCTTCATTCACAGAATCCCAGTACTCACCTTCTTGTACCTAACTGCAGACTGTAACTGCAATGCACATGTAGTTCAGTGACAGCAGGTACCACAGTTCCCTGAATTCAAAACACGCACCTGCAAACACAGGAGGGCCAAAGTGAGGACCATTTATTTGATGCCAGGAACCTCTGTTCAGGTCCGAGAGCAAATATGCCTAAGGATATATAAATATAACCCAAAAGGCCCCATTCTTCACCCCATTTCACAGCTGTTTCAGGAAGCCCTGCAGCCTGCAATGAGCCTGTGCCAAAGTAACAAGTGACAGGACAAGAGGAAATGGCCTCAAGTTGTGCCAGGGGAGGTTATTAGGAACAATTTCTTCACCAAAAGGGTTACCAAGCACTGGAGCAGGCTGCCCAGGGAAGTGGTGGAATCTCCACCCCTGGAGGTATTTAAAAGATGGGCAGATGTGGAGTTTAGGGATATGGTTTAGTGATGCCTTTGTCAAGTCTTAGGTTGATGGTTGGACTCAATGATCTTAAAGGTCCTTTCCAACCTATTTGACTCTATGATCCTATGCCAAGGCTGTGCAGCCCCAGCGTTTCTGTTGCCACCCCGGCATGGGGCAGGAACACTGCTGCCTCGCACCCGTGTGACTGGGCTCTTTAAAAAAAAAAATAAATTACTATTTTAGGCAATGCAACAACTAAACGGCAAAGGAGCAAAGCGGGGATAACTCCGTGTCTCTTTCCAAAGGGAAAAAACACCTCATTTGTTATCTTTTAAGCCTTCGCAGGGGGCAGGTGGAGCCCCCAAGGCACCGCTGTTATTTCTGGAGGTTTTTAACCAGCTCTGGGCCTCCCCACACCCGGGAGGGGCAGCGCCGCTCGGCGGGAAGGGACCGAGGCCGGGTGGGCCGGGGGGTGGCGGCGCTCCCCGCCCGCCTTCGGCCTCCCGGAGCCGTGAGGGCCGAGCTTGTTAAAAACGATAATATACATTAAACCGGGAAAACACCCCGCAAAGAACCCTGAGGTAAACAAGCGCCCCGCTCCGGCAGGCGGTGACGGCGGGGCTGAGAGCCCCCGAGTCCCGCCCCACAGCCCGACCTCCACCGGGCCCGCCCCTCCCCCGCCGGCCGCCATTACCGACCCCTCACCCTCCCCTCAGGCAAACCCCACCGCTACCTTCCGCCTCTCCGCCGGCACCGGCGCCCGACGCGTTCCCTGTGACGCCAGCACGCTCCATAGGCGGCGCAGCCAATCCGGAGGCCGCGTCGAGTGCGGAGGCAGGACGAGGGGGAGGCCGCGCACGCGCGACGCACGGCGGCGGTGGCGGCGGCGTCTCCTCCGTCGTCAGGGAAGCGGCCGGCGGCGGTGGCGGTGGCGGAGGTGCCGGGGCCGGGGCCGGGGCCGGGGCCGGGGCCGGGGCGGAAGGACCGGAGCTTCTGGGAGCGGCGGGACCTACCCGCCTGGGGCGGCAAACGGGTGGGGCAGCTCCCGGCCGACCCAGGGGCGGGTTGAGGCTTGTCTCGCTTCAGCCGGGGCCGCCTTTCGTGTAGGCCGCGGCTCGCCCCGGCGGCAGAAGGGCCGGTAGTCGGAGGAGGGGGTCGGCGGGGCTGGCGGGAGGGGGGTGTGTGTGAGGTAAAGCTGACCTGAGGTGAGGGGTGACGCCTTTAATTTTCGCAGTGTCCCGGTTTGAGGCACAAACCATGACACGCAGCTCAGTACTACTCCCGGCCAGGCCCCTGCTAGCCCGGCCAGGCCCCTGCTAGCCCGGCCCGGCCCCCAGTCGTTCTGTCTGAGAGCCGGGCAGCGCTGCTGGTGAGTTATCTTGAAGGAATCTCTTGAGTTCAACCAACACGTTGTTTCTTTTCCTTTCAGGTGTCCTCTGTTTAGGACTGTAGCCCCAAGCTGCAGTTTCGTGTCACCTCTTCCTTTTCAGCGTTTGGAAGAAAACTGAGAAGATGGTGAACGTCTTGAAAGGTGTTCTGATTGAATGGTTAGTAATGGCACTTCTTGTCTCTTGTTGCATCAGTCTATGTGTTTCTTCAGAGCTAGTAATATTCTATGAAGTTTAAGAGTTTAGACCCAAAAAAAAGGAATTATTGTGAGGAGGAGTCATGCTGAGCAAGCAGAGAAAAGTGCAGCCTTTGGGGGAAGAAAAACAGTGGCATGTGTAGGTAATCCTAATTCCAAACTTTTCTTTTTGCGATACTGTTTTCTGTTTATACATAACTATTAGATGCTCCTTCTTATTCTCTCTATATCTTTTATAAAAAACAGGGTTTTTTGTGTCATTGTTTATAAAAAATGTGTTTCTTTACGGATTCTAGAGGGAGATGAGAGAATCTTTCATCTTTTCTTGTCTTTTTTCATCAGTTCCACTCCAAATGCTGTTCAAGACTGACATGTGGTTCTGTTTGTAGATCATACTTGAGCAGAATACAATTGTAGTTTGTCAGAGCTTTTGATATATGTGCAGTAAAGATGTTTTCATACAATCTGAAGTCTCTAGACTAAGAATCAGGTAACTGGTTACCTCCAAAGTAAAAAGAAGCATCAGTCAAGACTTGTGGGGTCATTGCATAGCATTATATGACATATAATATTTCTGCTGTAAACGTAAACATAGTAACAGATTATAACTACATAAAAGCAGAAGAACCTTGAACGTCCTGTGATGTGCCTGCATGGTGCATATAGCTGTGATCTTGCAGCAGTTAACTTCTGAGCTGACTGGACATTAGCCAGCTGAATTCTGGATGACTGTGTGCAAGCAGTTCGGAGCCTAAACTCTGCTCTAACAAAAAGCCCATCTTCTTAAATTTGGATCTATGCTAGTGCATTGACAAAGCTTCTGAAGCAGAAGAAATTGCCCACCTGCAGCTGCCTATGTAAAAGTGTCCAGAGCAGAATTCTTGACTGACAAGGCAAGAATTTCTAAAATATCAGGCAGTTAGCAAAATATTTTAATTTGTGATTTATGTGTTTACTTTGCATGCACCTAAGGATCTGCGTAGGTTTTTTCAATTCCATGGCCAGATCCTACTACATAGTATTGGCGTGGAACTTAATCATTCTCTCTGGAAGGGAAGGGCATTTTTTTTCTGATAACAAATCCACAGCATTTGTTATGCTATTAGACATTTTCAACAGCCCCCTGGAAAAGTGACCTTTGATTTGGTTTCACTAGCTCTTGGTTTTGTTTTGTTTGTTTTCTTTCCACCTTTGTATAGAGGTGGGCTATGATTTTGCACAAAATTCCATCCTAGGAGAAGATGCAGAATTACTATAAACCTGTCTCCTTGTTTACGCTTCAGATACAAGTTTTTTTTTACAACCCAATTTTCTTAGGATATATAAGATACCGAATGGGCAGGGAGTGGAAAAAAAATAATCACTTCTGAATGTGTAAATCATGCAAATAAAACAGTGAAGTGTTGTGCAGGCAGTAGTAGTCCTGACTAGTAGCAGTAGTTCTGAGCTACCTGATTCCAATTTCCTGTATTTCTTGATCATATTCATAGACCGTATTTTTCACCAGTTGTTGCAATCAAATGCTAAGTTTCACCAAAGGGCATGTTCTTTCCGTTTTGTAAAAACTAGTATCAGAATAATATTGTCTGAATTCTTCAACATTTCAGTGGATCAAAGAGCTTATATTTTGAAGCCACTGTATCTGACTGATTAGTATAATGGTGGTGTTTCAGTTGCCTGTAATTTCCACGCTTCCAAAACGTTTTCTTCTAAATGCTTAAATTTAACTTAGAAGGTGACATCATGAAAAAGAAGAGATTGTTCAGTTATGGTGTGACAAATGTACAATTCATACATGACCATTTTTTCTCTGTGCTATACTACTTCGAGTGAGATCTACGTTCTCCTGGGTTTCAGTTACCTTTTAATAAAAATGTGTTTAAGAAAACATGTTCTTATGGTGCTATTTCTGAAGATAGAAATGTAAGTTCAAAGTTGCCTTATTGAGGGTTGGGGTTTTGGTTTTTTAAGCTACTTTAACAGCAGCATAGGGGCACTTCTGCTAATCACGCAGTTAGTTCTTCTCATTAGACTCTGTTATCAGTTTTTTATCTCTATCCCAAGCAATTACTATTGTGAAAGAAACAATGTTTTCAAAAGCTTCAAAAACTATATTTAAATTGTGAGCAACTCTTGAAATTGATAATAATTTCCCGAAGAATTTTGGGAGTGTCTTCTAACGGTATTTTTTTGTTTGTTTTTAACTGTATCTTATTACAATGAGGTGGGATTGGTGTGTTAAGACAGGGAACTGCTGGAGAGGGTACAGCAGAGGGCTACAAAGATGATGAGGGGCCTGGAGCATCTCTCTTATGAGGAAAGGCCGAGGGACTTGGGTTTTTTTAGTCTGGAGAAGAGAGGACTGAGAGGGGATCTGATCAACGCCTATAAATGTTTAAAGGGTGGGTGTCAAGAGGATGGGGCCAGTCTCTTTTCAGCAGTGCCCAGAGACAGGACAAGTGGTGACAGGCACAAACTTGAACATAAGAATTTCCACCTAAACATGAGGAGGAACTTCTTTCCTTTGAGGGTGGCAGAGCCCTGGAACAGGCTGCCCAGAGAGGTGGTGGAGTCTCCATCTCTGGAGACATTCAAAACCTGCCTGTGCAACCTGCTCTAGGTGGACCTCTTTGGCGGAGGGGTTGGACTAGATGGTTTCCAGAGGTCCTTTCCAACCCCATATCATTCTGTGATTCTGTGTTTTTGTCTCTGCAGTGACCCAGCAATGAAGCAGTTTCTGCTGTACTTGGATGAGTCAAATGCATTGGGAAAGAAGTTCATCATACAAGACCTGGATGAAACTCATGTCTTTGTATTAGCTGAGTTGGTTAACTTCCTCCAGGAGAGAGTGGGCGAGTTAATGGACCAGAACTCTTTTCCTATTACTCAGAAGTAAAAAGACTAAAGAAGTGAGATTACTGCCAGTTTTAGAATAGTGAATTTCAATAGCTTGGGTTGTTACTGCTTTAAATAGATGCACTGTGGTTAGTAAGTTCTACATGGAATTGGGTTTTATTTCTCATTTTGAAAGATTATGGTATCTTTATTTAATCTTTAAAATGATACACTTGAGGAATTGTCTAGAGAATTTTTGATGTGTGCTCTCTGGTTTTCCTGTAGGATTTTGATCTTGCAAGGTGGTGTGACCCAAAAAGTAAAGTAGTGTTTCTGTATTGGAATGCTATATGAACTCCTCTGACATGTTACTTTCCTGTGGAATTGATTAAATCTGGTTATGGTGTGACTAATAGAATGTAAAGAATGTCTGTTAAAGTATATGTGCTTGATGGAACATCTCTGTAAGTTGGAGGTGTGGTCAGATACTGCTTTAACTTCGTGGGTTTTATATGCCAAAATTAAAGTTGGTAGGAGTTTATTTTCTTTTTGTTTGTTTTGGTATTTTCCTGTTGGATTTCTTTTGTCCTTTATTTTTTCCCCCCCAGACATTTTACAAATGCCCCATACTACTTGCCTACTCTTACCAAGGCTATGCTTTCTGTGTTGTTCTGGGTCTGGGGAGTCGTGGTGGGAATCTAGAGGTTTGGAAGGGAGGGAAGGACATGGGGGGGCTGAGTACAACAAAATCCATTACCCCAGGTCATGACATTTTAACTGTAACCAGATGACTTGCATAACAACAATAGCAAATTGAAGGGGTAACAGAAATGGGAGACCAATGGCTTGCGTGTTTTCACTGAAACTAATACCTAGTCACAATAACTCTGTGATCAGGAAGGGGAAATAAAGACTTGGTTGCTCTACTTGCAAAGAAGAAAGCTGGTTTTGGTTTTTTGAGATGTTGGGGGGTTTTCTGGTGTTTTGTTTTTTTTTTTCCTTGAGCTTAGCTCTTCTTCTCCTACTGCAATTTGCTGCAAAGAGCCCAGAGAGGTGGTGGAGTCTCGGTCCCTGGGGACATTCAAAACCTGCCTGTGCAACCTGCTCTAGGTGGACCTCTTTGGCAGAGGGGTTGGACTAGATGGTCTCCAGAGGTCCCTTCCAACCCCATATCATTCTGTGATTCTGTGTTTTTGTCTCTGCAGTGACCCAGCAATGAAGCAGTTTCTGCTGTACTTGGATGAGTCAAATGCATTGGGAAAGAAGTTCATCATACAAGACCTGGATGAAACTCATGTCTTTGTATTAGCTGAGTTGGTTAACTTCCTCCAGGAGAGAGTGGGCGAGTTAATGGACCAGAACTCTTTTCCTATTACTCAGAAGTAAAAAGACTAAAGAAGTGAGATTACTGCCAGTTTTGGAATAGTGAATTTCAATAGCTTGGGTTGTTACTGCTTTAAATAGATGCACTGTGGTTAGTAAGTTCTACATGGAATTGGGTTTTATTTCTCATTTTGAAAGATTATGGTATCTTTATTTAATCTTTAAAATGATACACTTGAGGAATTGTCTAGAGAATTTTTGATGTGTGCTCTCTGGTTTTCCTGTAGGATTTTGATCTTGCAAGGTGGTGTGACCCAAAAAGTAAAGTAGTGTTTCTGTATTGGAATGCTATATGAACTCCTCTGACATGTTACTTTCCTGTGGAATTGATTAAATCTGGTTATGGTGTGACTAATAGAATGTAAAGAATGTCTGTTAAAGTATATGTGCTTGATGGAACATCTCTGTAAGTTGGAGGTGTGGTCAGATACTGCTTTAACTTCGTGGGTTTTATATGCCAAAATTAAAGTTGGTAGGAGTTTATTTTCTTTTTGTTTGTTTTGGTATTTTCCTGTTGGATTTCTTTTGTCCTTTATTTTTTCCCCCCCAGACATTTTACAAATGCCCCATACTACTTGCCTACTCTTACCAAGGCTATGCTTTCTGTGTTGTTCTGGGTCTGGGGAGTCGTGGTGGGAATCTAGAGGTTTGGAAGGGAGGGAAGGACATGGGGGGGCTGAGTACAACAAAATCCATTACCCCAGGTCATGACATTTTAACTGTAACCAGATGACTTTATGAAGTTACTAAGCCACTGTCCATCATATTTGAGAAGCTGTGGCAGTCAAGTGAAGCTCCTGCTGACTGCCGAAAGTGCACAAGTCCATTGGACATAATGAGATGCATCTGTGGGTCCTGAGGGAACTGGCATATGAAGTTACTAAGCCACTAGTGTTAGAATTATACTGTCCATCATATTTGAGAAGCTGTGACAGTCCAGTGAAGCTCCTGCTGACTGGAAAAGGGAAAATAGCACCCCGATTTTAAAAAAAAGAAGACCTGGGGAACTCCAGACCAGTCAGTCTCACCTCTGTGCCTGGCAAGATCATGGAAAAGATCCTCCTGGAAACTGCTAAGGCATGTCGAAAATAAGGAGGCAATTGGTGACAACCTAAATTAAAGGCAAATTGTATCTGATAAGTTTGGTGGCCTTCTGCAATGGGGTTACAGTGTTTGCTGATAAGGGAAGATGGACTGACATCATCTACCTGGACTCATGCAAAGCATTTGATGCTGTCCTGCACAACATCCTTGTCCCTAAATAGGAGAGACATGGATTTGGTGGGTGGACCATTCGGTGGATAAGGAGTTGGCTGGATGGTCACACTCAAAGAGTTGTGGTCAACGGCTCAATGTCCAAGTGGTGACCAGTGCTGAGTGGTGTTCCTCAAGGGTTGGTATTGGGACTGGTGCTGTTTAATATCTTGGTGACATGGACACTGGTATTGACTTGCACCCTCAGCGAGTTTGTTTCGTATCAAAATATTTTCAGGACTGAAAACTTAACAATTTGAAGGCAGACCAGTAAGGGGAGCTCTTGGCAACATTTTAAACTGCTGTTTAAAAAAATCACTGCAGCGTGGGCAATAGTGGGTGAGAGACCTACCGTGCTTTGGAACATTAATGTCTTTCTCTCTGGATGTGGTTTCAGCTGGAGATGAACATTCTGCTTCAAGGGATCCTTCCAGAAAGATACTTGAAGTAAGAGATTTTGATAGGTAGTATCTTTAGCTCTGAAGTATCTTAGATGTTTAGTTATCTAATGTTTTCTTTCTATGCTTAGGTACACAGTCCAGTTACATTAAAATGTTGTGTCTGAAATGTGGTCTTCCCTTCAAATGTTACTGGTAGATCTCCACACCTGGCCTGCTTCAGGACATGCTCTGTTTTAAGTTACATCACTTTTAGGGAGTGTAAATCACAGGAAAACCTTGCTGATACAGCCAGAAGTAACATTTATGAAGGGTTTTTCTCTTTATTGCCTCATTGTACAAAATGTCTATGAATATAGGGTACCTGTTCCTCAGTGCACATGCACCATACTATGGAAGACACATAAAAGAGCTATTCAATTTTAATTTCAGTCTGCACTGGGGACTTTGCATTTGTATCCCTAGGTTGTTGCTACTAATACATAGAGATGACACATACAGAAAGTTTTTCCCTGATTGCCCCCAAAAGTGAGTAGCTTTATTGGTTTACACCTATATAAATGTAAAGTTGAGTATGTTCCCTAAACAAAGAGAAGAACCCGTTAAGTTTTAATATGAAGGAGGAAGAAACTCCTGCTACCTCGGATGTTAATGGTTGTATTTTTCATAGAGACAGAAAAAGTTAATTTTCTCTCCTCTGATTGTGTAGCAGTAATAAGTAGATGAACTGCAGAATAGAAATGGACTATAAAATTGCTGTCCAGTGAGCAAATTAAAAAAGTGAAAATTTTAGAGTACTGTTGCTACCTTTTTGTGCTTGAGCAATTCTAGGTGTTACCAGCAAGTGTAAGGTTCTTGGAAGAGATCTCATTTTCATATGAATATTTTTCTTTTACCAAAAGAAAATCAGGCTCGTAATACCCATGCAGGAATATGCTTGAACTCAGCAAAGAAAATCCACTCAGCACCAAAACTCTGACAGATAATTGATTAGCCATAAAACTAGCCCCTCAGGAAAAAAAACAGCAAGCAAAATTTCTGGGTGACTATAGATTGAAGGAGTTGGCTGTCAGAGCTGGGACTGTTGTTTGCTTTTCTATTACAGGAAAGATGGGCCCAGTTGTAAATGGCAGGACATGCAGGATGATGGGTGTATTTGCAGCTGTGAAGAGATCAGAAAGATCTTTCAGGAAGATCAGAAGGTATTGCACATTTCTACAATGTTGGCATAGCTGATACACTGTCAGTAGTAAGAGGTAAATGTACTAAACAAACCTTTATAGTCAGTGTTTTGTGTGCTGTGTTCCTGCTGTTTTGAAGCTAGAGGGGTGAGGTAGGAGGATGAAAGAGAAAGAAGGTAGGAAAGAGGGGGAAGAGGTTTTTAGACTTGTAACTAGCATTTCCTGTTAGTTGTAAAATTGAACAAGATCACAAGGAGCATAAGGACAAAATTGAGAGAGATTGCACTCAAATTAATTTTACAAAAATGTACTTCCAATTAACTAGAACTTAATTGGTTTACAGAAGGTCCTGTGTTTATCATCAGAGCCAAAACATCAGGAGGACTGGGAGAGTAAATTTTCTTAATATTATTCCTATTATTCTACCTTGCTTCTGTCCTGGATGAACCCACTCCTCCATGTGGAGCAATAGCGTAGTTTTGCTTCCTTTTAATCTCTGGATTCTCCTACATTGGCAACTTTATTGGGTGCAAAATATCTTTTGCACGTTTGTGGTAATCATTAGGTATATATGTATTCCTGAAGCTAGAAATTAGCAGCGATGAGTAACACTGGAATGATGACAGCCTTCGGTATCATCAACCGCTTGAAACAGCTTGAAATTAAGAGATGAAAGCAAAATCTCTCTTCAGCTGTAATATGAAGCACGCTCCCTGCATTTAATTTTGCTCTTGGTCTAAACTGAAACTATCTCTTAATTTTGGGGAACGTTATAAAGTCCGTATAAAATTTAAGAAAAAAGAAGCCTGATTTCTTAAGGAATATTTGAGAGGAATATTTGAAATGAGTATTTGAAATGAATATTGTCAAGCACAGCCACAGTGAGGTCAGTGTGATAGACTGTGACAGCTTTTTGCTGCTGGCCATTTGGGCAAAGGCAGCTGCAAACAGCCTTTGAGAGGAGCAGGGGAGTAGGGATGAGGAGTGGGCAAAGCTCAGCATCTGAACAAACCTGTCAGGAGGACCAGGGAACCTGAAGTCTTGGAACTAGTTAGTGTTTCCCCTTTTGGCTTTGAGTAGCTTTTTTTACAAAGCTGTTTCTGCCTATTTAGTCTGCTGTGTGACAGCAGGAGCCAGAAGGAGCTGTAGGGAGTGGGAAGGAGAGATTCTGAGGGTGTGTGTGTTTCAGAAGGTGGTTCCTGAAGTTGTTTGCTACAAGTATGAAAAACTAGACCAAGCTGGAGCTGCCATTTCAATATGCAGAGTTATTCTAGCTTATTTATTTTAAAAAAGGTACTACAAAACAAAAGGAACTGTGAAGGTGG